GGAATAAGGTTGTCAACATATTTGATTTCAAAGAAAAGAGAATAGGAAAAGTTGAAGAGAAATAGGATAGTTGAATAATTTAAAGTGATACAAATAATTCGATTTTTATGAGATATGTTGTTTGAGTATAACAGATAGTACACATTAAAAGAACTGTCTTGACAAATTAATTTAATGTTTTTAGCATAACTAAATTTAAATAACTCTCAAAATATAAAGATGATTTATTAAGAGTTTTGTTTGATTATATTTATTTGATAAAAAGCTTTTTACTTTAGCAATAGTTTTTTTACTCTTTTAGGTTTAGTAAAAAGGAGTAGTGTTGAATAAAAACAGAAGAATAAACAAAGGGTAATGAATTAATAACTACAAACCCAAAAAAGGAATGACCAAATATTATTCGTTTCTATTCTAATAAAAGTTTAAAATGTAATAAAATAAGTATGAGAATATAATAAGTAGGATATTCTCTTATGAGTTTGGTTTAATTAAGTTATTAAAATCTATTTAACACAATAACAATCATTAATCAAACTATCCATTTCTAGACATTTCTAGAAACTTGTAATAAAAAAAGAATTCCAATGAAGGATATTTTTATTTAATTGAATTAAATTAATTTTCTTCTTAAGAAGAATGCTTTTAATGATCTTACTTGCCAAAGAGTCAACAAAATAACAACAACAATAATAATGATAGCAAACCATAAAGTAGATGCATTAGCAGCTTCATTGATATCTCTCCTTTGATATTCAATTTTTTGGCATTCTTGTAAATATTCAATAATATAAAACGCTGATTTATGAGCCTCATCTACCAATTCTTCTGTGTGTGAGATCTTTTCTTTATCAGCAAATTTAGGCATATTTTTTGAGTTAAATCCAACATTAATATCTAATGACACTATAACAGGACCTGTAACACTCTTATCGGTCACAGTATCAACAAAACAAAAATCAATATCTCCATCATCATCTGGTGTTAATGCATATTTATTTTTTGTCTCTCCTTCTTGTAATGCTTTAACTAAAAGCTCTTCTCCTTCTTCATCAAAAACTTTAAATTCTATTGTCCTTCCTGCTAAACTTGTTCCTTCAACAATTCCATATACACCATGAACTACTTGTCCTTCAAAAACCTCTTCACTAACACACCGAAATCCGTTTGTTGGTATTTCCATTGTGAAAGCAAGGCCTAAAGTAATACAAAGAGATAATATGTTTATTACCTTTCCCATTATATTTACTAGTTTTTTACTTTTTTGAGTTCTTTTTCTTTTCTTATTATTATTTTGTTATATATAACTATTTTAATTAGATACCTTATCTTTTTCACTGATGTTACTAGCTTCTGATTATTAGTAGTTCTGCTACTACTTATTTTTTTCAAAAATACAGTATTAGAACAAAATCACTCGTTTTTGTTGAATAAGCCATGTACTCCTTGAAAAACTCAGTTAGTCATAAATAACGTCCATCTTAAACTATTTTGTCTTTTCTATTCTTTTATATATCTTAGGTAATAATCTATAACTTTCGGTAGTTACAACCATATTAATCTTTTATCATTTTATTTAACTTCTTATTTCCAATTTGAATGATCCTGAACGAAATAAAATAGAATTAACTAATTAAATTTATAAGTTAATTCAAAGGTATCAGATCTTCAATTTAACATCATTTTTGATTTAATCTATACTCTTTAATATGAGTTTATATTTCTTATTATTCTTGGTCATGAAATTATGCATTTTATTCGTATTCATCATTATATTATTATATTGATTTGTGATGTTGTTCATTATTTCTTAATTGATGTCTAAATGTAATGAATGTATTCATTGTTTGTTTAAAACATGGTGTTTATGTTGGATAGATCATTGAAATGAATTATCATAATGCAAAATAATTCTTGTTAAATGTTTAAAAGATAAAAAATAGTAGATAATACAATTAGATGCAAATATTTGTGATTAAATATGAGAAGAACATATTTGTATATTATTAGTTCTATCTTTCTAATTCGATTTCTGTATTAAATGAATATATCTGTTGATGAAATTGAAATTGAAATAAAATATAAAAAGAAAATGATAAAAGAAAGAATAAAGAAAATAATAAGAAAGTAAATATAATGATTAATGATAAAATTAATGAGTTATTATCATGAATGAAAGTTGAATATGAACATTAAATTCATTATTATTAATTATAAATGTTTAATTTATAATACATATTAAATAGTCATTCTTCATTCTATATTATTGTGTTGATGTTTAAATTATTCAATTTGTTATTATCATATCATCATTTCATTGATACTTCTTATTTATTATCTTTTTATTTGTTTCATCATTTAACTCTTGTTTGATATGATAATATAAATAATTTACATTTTATATTATCATCATTCATCATTGATAATCATCTGTGATATAATTTAATTTTCATATCAATAAATATATCATTTAAATAAATAAATAATAACATCTATTAACATATCATTATGACATCTCATCAATGTGATAAATAAAATGTAATATTTACACATTAATAACAATACGATTGATATTCATATTTATATAATCATTATTATTCATAAATAACATTATAAATTTGATTAACATAATACTCTTCTTTATTACTTTTCATAATGATATTTTCACATTATAATAGATTTGAAGGTAAATGAAATGAAATAAAGAATAATATAAAATGAACACAATTATGAATAAATATACTCAACAAATCAATATACATCATACTCAATACAACAAAAAGTTACAAAATGTCGACTGATTGTTATAGAATTTGTATTTTACCTACATTTTATTTTAATTTATAATTTATAATTTTAAGAGAAAATAATAGAAAACAGAATAATCTAATATTCAAAAAATATATTACACCATTTTCATTTGAATATTTTATTTAGATTCATAATTTCTTCGCTTATTTTGGTTCCCTTTTTATTTATATGTATAATTTATTCACTTATTTTGATTCTCATTTGATAATTGTGTCAATTAAATTAAAAATGAACATTTTAATGTTATTCAATTGTATTTGATAGATTTTGTAATACATTGAATTACATTTTGAAATTATTAATCAGATAATATCTCATTAATTAAATTAATACTACTCATTCTGTATTGATATTTAATTGATTAAACATTATTACAAGTTACTGAACTGATGATGTGTAATATAATAATATTGATATTATGTTAAATATAATAAGTATTGAATATCAATATATTATTCAAAATTATCTATTATTATTACTCTTTTGATTGTTATCATAATCACAATTAATTTACTTATTAATAATATACTGAATGATTTTAATTAACATCATTTCATAAAATATATTCATTATTGTGAATATTGTTCATTTAGAAATGTAATATATTGATAGATTAAGATATTTTGATATAATTGAACTATCAAATGTTTTACAATAAAATATAAAATCATAATAAATCAAAGTATCATCAACGCAAATACAAAATATCATACTTTTTGATGATAAATATATTAATTGTTTTATAACTTTTATATATTCAGATAAAATACTTTTATTGATTTCTTATCAATATAATCATTTAAACATATTTCATCGACATTAAATAATAACTTATATTGAGTACAATTAAAAATTATTGATAAAATAATATAAATATTAATAATTTCATTATATTTGGATTCATTATATATCATCTGATTTTAATAATAGGCAACGAAAAAAAGGAAATAAGAGAAAAATGAAGAGAAAGAATGTTATAACAGAAAAAAGTGAAATTATGAAGTAGAAGAAGATGAAAAGAATAAAAGTAGAATGTTGAGAATATAAAAAGAAAGAAGATAAAAAAGAATAATTCAAAAAGAGATAATAAATGATGAAAATAACGATGAAATAAATGATGCATTTTTTATTATAGAAATTAGAAATATGAAATAAAAAAAGCGTTTAATTTATTGATGCAAATTATTTATCATTATTTTATTTATGCAAATTATTTTATTTATTTTTATTTTTATAATTTTTATTTATATGTATTATTTATTATCTTTTTTTCTTTTTAATATATTGATTATTTTATTTTATTATTTATTATTCTTTTATTTATTTTTCTATATTCATTTATTTGTTCATTTTTATTATATTTATGAAATATTTCATTATTATAAAATAATTTTATTGTTTAATTATTTAAATGATTTATATTAAAATGAATTTATTTTATATTTTATTGTTTTCTTTTATCTTTATTTTATATTTCAATAATTTCTTTAATATCATCATTTTATATTATTATTATATTTATTCTTTCATATTTTTATTATTTATCATTATTATTGTATTTTCATTTCTTATTTTATTTTAATTTATTATTATGTTTATTTATATTTCTTTTCTTTCTTATTATTCTTCTTTATTCTTATTATTTCTTTATTTCTTATTTTTCTATTTTATTTATTTTCATTTTATTCATATTTTCATTTCTTGTTTTGATTATTTTGATTTGATTTAATTTTAATTTTTAATGTTATTATATTTTTGATTATTCTTATTTATTTATCATTTATTTATCATTTGTTTTTATTATTATCATTTGATTTATATTTATTATTTATTTCTTTTATTATCTTTCTTTTCTTTATTCTTTATTATTTATATCATATTCTTATTTCTTATTATTTATTTTTGATTTTAAATGATTGTTTCAATATTCATCATTTTATTT